TATATATATATAAAATTTATTTTCTTAAAAATATCATGTTCTTCGGTCCAGCAGAGAGATCCTGCAGCCCACATCGCCGGGAGTTTGAGGACATAATGGTTAGGTTAGATGTCGTAATCTTAATCTCAAATTTATCGAACCTCCTAACCGCCTATAAATTAGAGGTAACCGCTATAAAATGCATGTTAACGGATATAACACAATCCGCTATTACATTACACCTATTCTATTATTTACGAACAATAGAATTATACTTACAAACAATAGAATTAGAATAATCATTTATCCAGACAGGTTCATTTTATATTTAATGTTTAGGTATAAAATGGATAGACACTTGATTTCATCGTGCCTGTCTTTTAGATATTCCTTATCCATTTGTTTAATGTTAAGATTGAACTCTTAAAATTATATCAATCAGTGGTTTCTGTTCACTCTGTTGTGAAAAATATACAAAGAAAGTTGAACCAGTTGAAGTTGACAAGATACATGAGGCAAGTGTCATGGGTTTTTCCATTTGTTTAAATGGAAAATAGATTTTTTTTTTCGCTTGGTAATGGAAAAATAGATTAAATAGGCTGATTGTTATGATTTTGAAAATAAAATATGAAAATTGAGACAAATTACAGTTAAAGAGACAAATTGAAAGAGTCTTCAAATTCAGGGGACTTTTATGTTTACCTAAACCAATGTTTGAGAGGTCTTGCTCTTACAAAGCCCAATCTAGTACAACATCAAACAGCTCATAATATATACCCATACTTGGTTGTGTCATGTGATATTTAGGTTGTATTATTGCAAATTGTATTATAGTTGAGTCTTATTATTCTAAGTTTGCAACACATTTTTGTCATATTCGTGTAATTTATAGATCAAAACCTACTAGGTTGGAAACTTTTTTTTCTCAATCAAATCAATAACTTATAAAACCCCAAAAAAAAAAAATTTTGAACCATGTTCTGGCAAAAGAAAATAATAAACTAATTTAATTTTGCATTATTTTATGTAATACTAGATTAAAATATTTTAAAAAATCATAATTTATTTAACATTAGTGTTAATTAGCTTTTTCTAGGTTTATATCATTAATATTTTATTGGGTGAATTACATTTTATACCTTAAAAAATTGCTTGATTGTCAATTTGCACCCTCATTATCATAAACTTGTAAACAACTTTGACACAAACCCGAGCTATTATTTATGTTCTGTTTGGTAGGAATGATAGAAAGTAGGAATAATGAAAAATATGAGAAATACACTTTCCATCCTTTAAAGATGGAAAGTAAGAATGATACACTTTTTTTTTCTTTTGTATTTGGTTGGACGGATAAAAAATAAAAATGACTAATTTTTTTTTCTACTGGCTAAAATTAGGGATGACAATCAAGTCATATCATGTCAGATTCGTGTTGAGTCACTACGGATTTGTGTCGAACATTAATCAAACCTAAATCAACTCATTTAACTAATTGTGTTGAGTCGAAAAGCAAATTGACCATTTTATATTCGTGTCGTGTTCGTATTCGTGTTGACCCACATAAACTTTGAATAAAAAATTTAACGCTAATATTCTATTTTCACTTAATTGAATCCATGTTAATATTTTTTCTTGGCAAGTTCGTGTCATAAAATTTGTGTCGAGTTTTAGTCGTGTTATTGTGTTGAATTAAAAATTTTCACCCCTAGTTAATATAGAAAAAATATTTTTTTATTTTATATATATACACACACACATATTTATCATTGTATTTTTATATGAAATTAAAATATACATAATATATATATTAAAGATATATAGACTAATAAGATATATTTCAATGGGGATATGTTAGTGGAACTTCTGTGAAACTTAAGAATATTGATGCGGGTTATACTGATTTGATAGATGTCTGGGAAGCAGACAATGCAAAAATTATTACTTGGATCAACAATTCTGTTGAGCATTCTATAGGTACGCAGTCGGCAAAGTATAAGACATCAAAGGAGGTTTGAGATCAGCTGCAAAGGTTATTCACTCAATCAAATTTTGTAAAACAGTATCAATTGGAGCATGACATACGAGCTCTTTAGCAGAAGAATACGAGTATTCAGGAGTTTTATTCTGCTATAACAAATCTTTGGGATCAATTGGCTCTTATAGAATCGACTGAACTAAAAGCATGTGGTGCCTATATTGCTTGTAGAGAGCAACAACGATTGATACAGTTTTTAATGACACTTCGTAGTGATTTTGAAGGACTTAAAGGTTCAATTTTGCATCGTTCTCCGCTTCCTTCTGTTGACTCAGTTATTAGTGAGTTATTGGCTGAAGAGATACGTCTTAAGTCTTATTCTGACAAGGAAATTCTTTCTACTTCTGATCCTTCTGTGCTAGCAGTACCTTCTAAATCATTCTCTCATAATCAGAATAAGCCTTACACAAGGCGTGCCTTCGACGAGTGTAATTTCTGTAAGCAGAAAAGTTATTTGAAGGCTCAATGTCCTAAGTTAAGACAACAGAATCAATCGCAGCAGCAATCTCAAGCTTGGAAGTCTGGCAACCAGTTACAATCTAATACTCCTAGACCACCTCAGGGTTACAAACCACCACAGTCTAATACTGCAACAGTAGTTTCATCAGGTCCTTTCACCGATTCTAGTACCTTGGTTGAGCAATTTTAGAAATTTCTCTCCTTACAGCCACAAGCTATGTATGTTTCTTCTTCAGGAGGTCAGTTGCCTCATAGTTCTCCAAGTATGTCACATTCTGTATGGGTCTTGGATTCTGGTGCTTCACATCATATGTCTCCAAATTCTTTATCTTTTGCTTCTGTATCTCATTCATCTTCTATTCCTATTATGACTGCTGAAGACACTCCTATGCTTTTATCAAGTGTTGGTTCTGTTGTCACACCTCACTTGTTTCTCCCTAATGTTTATCATATTCTAAAACTCACATTAAATCTTGCTTTTGTTGGTCAGTTATGTGATTCTGAAAATTTAGTTACATTTTCCTCCTCTTCTTGTTATGTGTAGGATTTGCAATCTCAGAAACCGATTGGGACAGGCCATAGGAAAGGGGGATTTATATATTTTGGATGAGTTAAAAGTGTCAGTTGTTGCTGCTGCTACTAGTTTTAATTTATCTTCTTTTCATTTGAGTCTTTCTTCTTCTGGTTTTTATTTATGACATTCTCGTTTAGGTCATGTTTCGTCTTCGCATTTGAGATTTTTGGCATCCACAAGGACTTTAAGAAATTTGCAAACTTATGATATTTCTGATTGTAGTGGATGTAAACTGACAAAATTTTTAGTTTTATCTTTTAATCAAAGTATTTATGTTTTTTCTTCTCTATTTAATTTGATTCATTCTGATGTATGGGGACCTTCTTCTGTTGCCACAAAAGGAGGGTCTTGATATTATGTTTCTTTTATTAATGACATAATTATTACGGATGATGATATTAATGGTATTTCAGTTTTGAAGACAGAGTTAGCTAGACTGTTTGAAATGAAGGATTTGAGTTCTCTACGATATTTCTTGGGTATTGCGGTAGCCTGTTCACCCAAAGGTTATCTTCTTTTTCAGTCGAAATATGTTACAGATATTCTTGAGCGAGCTAGACTTACTGATAATAAGAATGTAGATACTCCCATTGAGATTAACGCAAAGTATTCTTCTTCTGATGGTTTACCTTTGTCAGATCCTACTTTATACCGTACTATTGTTGGGAGGTTGGTATATCTCACTATTACTCGTCCAGATATTGCATATGTTGTTCATGTTGTTAGTCAGTTTGTTGTTTCTCCTACTACAGTTCATTGGGNTTGTTAATCATAGTCAAATTTAATATCATAGTACACTAATTAAGACGTTAAATGATAATAATTTCAAAGGATGGCCTTGTATTCAGGAGATGGTTCCAACAATGACTGCTAGTGTAGAAGCTATGCTTGAAGGATGGAGAGATTATGTAGGTAAGGAGACAGAGGTATATGAAAATTTCAGTGTTTTGACCTCAGAAGTAATATCAAAGACAGCTTTTGGAAGCAGTTACTTGGAAGGGAAGAATATATTTGAGATGTTAGAGAAGTTGGGCATGGTAATATTCAGAAACGATGGCAAAGTACGCTTTCCCATCCCTGAGTAAGCTTCATCTTTCCCCCATTTCTATTCTTTCCATAGCCTAACTATGTCGATTATGAGTTAGTAGAAGAAAATCAGCAATAAAGACATGTTGCAACATCCCCATCAGCAGAGACCAAGACGAGAAGAATTAAGGATGCAGCAGCTCCTACTCCAATAGTTTTGCAGNGTTCACCCAAAGGTTATCTTCTTTTTCAGTCGAAATATGTTACAGATATTCTTGAGCGAGCTAGACTTACTGATAATAAGAATGTAGATACTCCCATTGAGATTAACGCAAAGTATTCTTCTTCTGATGGTTTACCTTTGTCAGATCCTACTTTATACCGTATTATTGTTGGGAGGTTGGTATATCTCACTATTACTCGTCCAGATATTGCATATGTTGTTCATGTTGTTAGTCAGTTTGTTGTTTCTCCTACTACAGTTCATTGGGCAACGGTTTTTCATATTTTGAGGTATCTTTGGGGTACAGTCTTTCAGAGTCTTTTACTTTCATCCACCTCTTCCTTGGAGCTGTGTGCATACTCTGATGTTGATCATAACAGTGATCCCACAGATCACAAATCTGTTACTGNCTCGTCCAGATATTGCATATGTTGTTCATGTTCATCCACCTCTTCCTTGGAGCTGTGTGCATACTCTGATGTTGATCATGACAGTGATCCCACAGATTGCAAATCTGTTACTAATTTCTGTATCTTTTTAGGTGATTCTCTTATTTCTTGGAAGAGCAAGAAACAATCTATTGTTTCTCAATCTTCAACCAAAACAGAATATTGTGCTATGACATCTACTACCAAAGAGATTGTTTGGTTACGTTGGTTACTTGAAGATATGAGAGTTTCTCTTTCTCATTCCACTCCTATGTATTTTGACAACCGGAGTTCTATTTAGATTGCTCACAACTCAGTTTTTGATGAACAAACTAAGCACATTGAGATCGATTGACACCTTACTCGTCATCATCTCAAGCATGACACCATTAGTTTGCCCTTTGTTTCTTCTTCTTTGCAGATTACAGATTGCAGATTTATTTACAAAGTCGCATTCTATTTCCCGTTTTCATTTTCTAGTTGGCAAACTCTCGATGTTTGTCGCTACTGCATCGTGAGTTTGAGGGCAGATGTTAAGAAATTTAGGGTTATTTTGTTTATTAAGGGTATAATAGTCTTTTACTTTTTCTGCCTTGTTTAGCTTATATATAATCTTTTTGTATTTAGGTTAAATTACTTCATAGTATTCAATTGAATTATGCAGTATCAATAAAACCCTAGCCTCCTCTTTTCTTATCTCTTGTATTTTTTTAGATTGTTCAACAGAAACCAGAATGAAATCTAGAAGATGAACCGCTAACCAACCAGAAAATCAGAAAACCAAATAAAAAGACTCCTCTGTAACAAGAGGCAATAAAAGGACCAAGAGACGCGGAGAGTGAACAAACAGAGATTGATCTTGAAGAACCGAAGACCCCTTCCTCCAGATCCAGTAATAAACAAAATCTATTGCCAATACATGTGAGTTCTGAACTCCAAGGAGAAAATCAAAATTGAAACTCTGAAATTTGATCCAAAGATGAACCAGTGACATAATTGCTGATAAAGACAGCTAAAGAAGAAACCATCCAGAAGAAAATTGAGTAAGAGACTATTGGAACAAGGCCAAAGGACAAAGGTTTCAATTTTAATCAGCCAGTCACTTAAAACAAAAGTATTAGCCTTTGTTCTAACTTGTTCAATAAACTATGTTATTATGTTGTTTTTATCGCCTCTCCTCTGGATTTAGCCAAGATTGTCATTTAGTTTCATTTCACTGATTCCCAAGAGATCAATATTTTTATACATCAACCAAGAATATATCAGGTGTATATAGTTGATAACAAGCTCATTGTTTTCAAAACAACAAAACTCTAGTTGTGTTTTGAAGTCATGATAATCTTTGTTTCGGGTTTTGTTTGCTTACTTTTCCTCCTAATTCTGATCAAGTTTTTCCACAAGGTATGGTGGACTCCAATTTACATTCAATATGTCATGAGATCTCAAGGAGTCAAAGGTCCTTCTTATGAATTCTTCCATGGAAACAACAAAGAGGTGATTAACATGAAAAAAATATCCATGATCCGTCCCATGGACTTGTCACACGACATATTTTCCAGGATTCAGCCTCACATGTACTCGTGGATCAAGCAATATGGTAAGAACTCGTTAATTAAATGTTGTTTAAGTGTTAGTTATGAATCCTTAATCCTAGTCGAAGTTTTGAACACTAATTATTGCTATTGGAACAGGGAAGCATTTTCTTTTGTGGAATGGTCCTCAAACTCAGTTGGTTGTTACTGAACCTGAGCCAATTAAAGAGATACTAAGCAATAAAAATGGTGCATTTCCAAAAATTAAACTCCAAAGTCATGCGAAGAAGTTAATAGGAGATGGACTTGTGGCTTCAGAAGGTAAAAAATGGTCAAAGCTACACACACTATCGAACCATACTTTCCATGCTGAGAGTTTGAAGGTTTGATTTTCTTCTTCCTATTAATGAAACATGTTAATCATAGTCAAATTTAATATCATAGTACATTAATTAAGACGTTAAATGATAATAATTTCAAAGGATGGCCTTGTATTCAGGAGATNTTCCATGCTGAGAGTTTGAAGGTTTGATTTTCTTCTTCCTATTAATGAAACATGTTGTTAATCATAGTCAAATTTAATATCATAGTACACTAATTAAGACGTTAAATGATAATAATTTCAAAGGATGGCCTTGTATTCAGGAGATGGTTCCAACAATGACTGCTAGTGTAGAAGCTATGCTTGAAGGATGGAGAGATTATGTAGGTAAGGAGACAGAGGTATATGAAAATTTCAGTGTTTTGACCTCAGAAGTAATATCAAAGACAGCTTTTGGAAGCAGTTACTTGGAAGGGAAGAATATATTTGAGATGTTAGAGAAGTTGGGCATGGTAATATTCAGAAACGATGGCAAAGTACGCTTTCCCATCCCTAAGTAAGCTTCATCTTTCCCCCATTTCTATTCTTTCCATAGCCTAACTATGTCGATTATGAGTTAGTAGAAGAAAATTAGCAGTAAAGACATGTTGCAACATCCCCANTAAGTAAGCTTCATCTTTCCCCCATTTCTATTCTTTCCATAGCCTAACTATGTCGATTATGAGTTAGTAGAAGAAAATTAGCAGTAAAGACATGTTGCAACATCCCCATCAGCAGAGACCAAGACGAGAAGAATTAAGGATGCAGCAGCTCCTACTCCAACAGTTTTGCAAACCACAACCATCAGAGGAGTCCAAGACCTGAAAGCTAACTTTCATCCAGATAAGACTCTTTTCCTTAGTTTTCTNACCACAACCATCAGAGGAGTCCAAGACCTGAAAGCTAACTTTCATCCAGATAAGACTCTTTTCCTTAGTTTTCTAATCTGTCTTGAATCCTGCATCATGAGTAGTTGAATGTATGTAGGGAGATTGCTCATAGAATCATATGTAAAAGATTGTTTATCTGCTACCCCTTTGTTTGCCAGTGCATCTGCCACTATGTTCCCCTCACGATAGCAATGTTGAATTAGAAATGTGAAATTTTGAAGAGTAGCAATAATTTGTTCTAGTAGGATCCATCACTTCCAAGACACTTTAACCCTCTTACTGACCATGTCAACTAACAGTTTTGAGTATGACTCAATTATCAACTCGTATACTTGAAGACCATAATCTTGCAAAAGTTGTAGACCACTCAACAGAGCTTGCATTTCTACCTCCATATTTGTGCAATTACCATAATAAAAGGAACCTGTTAGAATCACCTGGCCCATAGAATTCTGAAGAATTGCCCCTCCACCTGACTCTCCATGATTACCTTTTGAAGCACCATCAACATTAAGCTTAATCAGACCATTAGCTGGGAATTTCCAAGCTATCCACCACGTACGTATCCTCACTGCACTAGTGTTAGGGACCTGTAATGATTGCAATAACTCTACCTCTTTAGTAGTATCCATTGTTTTTGGTTTAATAATATCCACCTGTAACCTCATAAAAGAGAGAACCTTTTGACCAGGGTAGTATAATGAAGACAATGATCCTCAAAAAGCCTATTGCATCTTCCGTTCCATAATTGCCAGTACACCAATAGATTTACTCCCCTTAACAAAGTATGGCTCAGAGATAAATGTTTGAAGTCTCTTACAAANAAGCCTATTGCATCTTCCGTTCCATAATTGCCAGTACACCAATAGATTTACTCCCCTTAACAAAGTATGGCTCAGAGATAAATGTTTGAAGTCTCTTACAAATCTCATAAATCTAGTGAGCGAATCCTCATTCGCAATTAACCTGAGCCCCAATTGAGCTGAAACCGAACTCCAGACTAAACTTGCATAAGTACAGTTTATAAAAATATGGTCTATCGTTTCACAGTCTTTGTTACAAAAAAACACATTTGCTAGCTAAAGAAACTCCCGAAGCTGAAAAGTAGAGTCCATAGCCAATGCATTGTGAAATATCTTCCACCCTAATAATCTTGTAGTTGGGGGAACTTTCTGTTTCCAAACGGCTGCAGCTTGCACACTGATTTGTCCCTCTATTCTTAAAACATTCCAAGCAGATTTAATAGTAAAACAAACCAAGGTCTCTTGGTTCTATATAAGCCTATCACTGCTTACCCCGTGAGGCAGTTGAATGGATAGTACTTCTTGTAACAAATGTGCATCTAAATTTGTTTGTATCTCACCAAGTTCCCACTGACCATCCACACACACTTGGGATAATTTTGGAAACTCCAGTGGTTTCACTGAGTTTCTGAGCACTAGTGGTCCATTACCAGACCAATTGTCACACCAGAAGTCCACGTTAGCCCCATAACCAACTAATGTTAGAGTATTCTCAGCAACAATATTAAACCAGGGAGCTATTTCCTTACAACTTTGAGAATGCTTTCTTGTAGAAGACCTAAGTGGATGTTGACCTTTGAGAAATTTACTTGAAAAAACTTTAGACCATAGAGAGTTTCCACTTAATAGGTTCCACACCTGTTTCATACGAAATGAACTTTGTACTTCCTCAAACTTTCTAATGTCCAGTCCACCTTCCTTTCTAGGCGTTGTAATCACCCTCCATGCACACCAATGCCTTTTCCTAACACCTGCCTTTCCAGACCGGAAGAATGCAGCCATAATTGAGTTCAACTTTGAGAGTATCCCTTTTTGGGAGATTTATAGAGGGCATTAAATGAATTGGTAGTGAGTTCAAAACATACTGAATAAGTACCAATCTCCCCATACACGATAACATCTTGGAATACCACCCTTCTAGTTTGCACTCAAACTTCTTAAGCAGCTCCTCATAATAGATTAATTTTTTCCTTCCTCTTACTGCTGGACAACCCAAGTAAGTAAAAGGACATGACTTCAGAGGGATTTGTGTAGTGTGAGAAAGCATATTCCTTCTTGCAAGTGCAATTCTCTTAGAACAATATAGAGAGCTTTTCTGTTTATTGACAACCTGTCCTGAGGAATCTTCATACCTCTTCACAAATTTNGCAGTGTGAGAAAGCATATTCCTTCTTGCAAGTGCAATTCTCTTAGAACAATATAGAGAACTTTTCTGTTTATTGACAACCTGTCCTGAGGAATCTTCATACCTCTTCACAAATTTCAGAAGATTAACCATTGAACTTTTGTTCCCCTTCAAGAAGATAAGTGTATCATTTGCAAATAATAAATGAGTGAGGGGGATGGAGCCTCTGCTTATATGATAGTATCTTACCAAACCTTTCAGGAATACGTCTTTCAATCCTCTGCTTAAGATCTCCTCTGCCAAAATGAATAGGCTAGGGGACAAAGGATCCCCTTACCTGAGTCCCCTTGACTTTGGAAACAATCCATGCCTATTGCCATTGATCACCAATGATATGTTCTGATTATGGAGACAATTCGAAATAATCTTCAAAAGGTCTTCAGAAAACCCAAAACAGCCCAAAGAGTAGTTCAAAAAATCCCATTCCAACATGTCAAAACCTTTCATCATGTCCAGTTTTAAAATAACATTCCCAGCCTCAACCTATCTATCTAGTTCATTTGTCATTAACTGCGCCAGTGATATATTGTCCCCAACAGTTCTACCCTTCACAAATCTCAGTTGCTCCTCTTAGATCAATTTAGGAAGTATAAGACTAACCTTGATGTTAGGATTTTTGTAAACACCTTGTATATGAAATTGCACAAGCTAAACGGTCTAAATTCTGCAAAAGATGATGGATGCTCTTTCTTTGGAATGAGAGACAATAAAGTAGCATTAACCGATCTTGGCACCTCTCCTCCTTGCAAGAAAAAGTTAACTGCTAACAAGAAATCCTCCTTAATGATATCCCAGGCTGTATGGAAGAATTGACCTGAAAATCCATCCGGACCAGGTCCATTATAAACAGACATTGAAAACACTGTCTCTTCAAGTTCTTCTATGGTAATTAACCTCGTCTGCATTACGTGATCTTCCTCAGTCACTAGGTCATATTATTAATATTGTTATAATATATGTTTTATTTTTAATATATTACAACTCTATTATTATTTAAAAAATATATTATATTATTTTAATAGATGTATCATTGTCATACCCGTGTTCCATATTTTTTAACTTTGTCGTATCTCCGTGCCTGTATTGTACGACAACCGTGTTCGTATCCGTGCGTCCTAGCATTCACCCCACCAAGCACCACTGTCGTCGCTCACCACCGATTGTTACCACTGTCGTTCACCACCACCATCATCATCTCATTTTTATATTTATTACCACTATCATCATCATCCCACCACCACTGTCACCCCTCCACCACCATCGTTGCTCACCACCATTCGCTACCCATAACCCACCACCACCTGTCGTTGCCCACCATTGCGACTATCCACTGTCATCCACTACCATCACACTTACCACCACCAACCACCATCACCCGTCATCGCCCACCATCAGCGCCACCCCACTATCACCCACCACCACTATTGCCCACAAGTACCTGTCGTCGTCCACCATCACCATCACAATCGTCATCGCCCATCACCACAANCCACCACCAACCACCATCACCCGTCATCGCCCACCATCAGCGCCACCCCACTATCACCCACCACCATTATTGCCCATAAGTACCTGTCGTCGTCCACCATCACCATCACAATCGTCATCGCCCATCACCACAACCCACCATCGCCACCACCACTGCCAACCATCATCACTGTCGTCCACACCCACTCACCACCACCACCACCACCACCATCATCACCTATGACTGCCACTACCATTATTGTCACTTAAAATCCATCACCATCATCACTATTGTTACTCACGGCTACCACTATTACCATGACTATCGCCGCCCACCATAATTATCACTGTCTTTCATCACCACCACTGTTACCCAACACAACTAACACCGCTAACCNCCATTGTTACTCACGGCTACCACTATCACCATGATTATCGCCGCCCACCATAATTATCACTGTCTTTCATCACCACCACTGTTACCCAACANCTATTGTTACTCACGGCTACCACTATTACCATGACTATCGCCGCCCACCATAATTATCACTGTCTTTCATCACCACCACTGTTACCCAACACAACTAACACCGCTAACCTTCACTACAATCAGTGCTTAAATTTTTTTCTGTCTCCTATATGTTTGTGATTTGATTTTAGGTATAAATACAAATATATTTATGATTGACAATTTTTTTTATTACTTCGTGCCTTCAAATACGAGTAATAATTAATATAACATACAGTTTCAATATCACTTGGATATAAAATATACTATACAGTTGCAGATAAGGTGGTAATTTGATACTTAGTAGTTGATTGGATATTCTAAAAAAATAAATAAATATCTCCAAATCAATCATATTCAATCAATCTCACTTCCTAAAATTCAATTTCTTCATGAAGATTGTTAATAACAACTAAACACCAAATAAAAGATCCTTAAAATATAGGGT